GGGGGGGGGGGGTGTCAAAGGACAGTTGAGAGGACCCAATTAGATAAGGCATGTTGAAAGCTTCACACAACACATGCGGCCGTTTTCAACATTGGTGACTCTGGGCATTGTCCACAGGCAGCCTGCCCTTGTCACCTTGCAAGGAAGAGGGTCCATCAGAAACCTCGTCTCCCGACTCCCTGGAACCCCCCCTTCCTCCTGAAAGCAGAAGCCCCTCCCAGGCCTCGTGATAACCAGCAGAGCTCAAGGGGCACTAGGAGGAGGCTGGCCCATAGCAGGGGACCAATTGACTCCTCAGCCAGCTTAGCAGCCAGCGGCCCCTCTAGCCCAGTGTGGAAACTGATGGGAAGACTCAGACCCCAGCTAGGGTTCCTGGACAGGCTGACAGAAAATGTCGTCTGCCCAGCAGGTGGCAGGAACGTGGCCTTGCACAGTCCAAGTTCTCCACTGAGGACGAGACCAACACGCAGGCTCAGGCATGGAAATGCCCAAATGGAAAACCACTCCAGGAGAGGAAAAGGAAATGCTGAGGACAGCCCCAGAGTGAAGGCCAGGCGAGGGCAGCAGCTCAGGAGAGGAGATCCAGAAAGATGGGGCTCTGTGCGCACGAGTCAAGGAGGCCTTGCGGCAGAGAGATCCTGAAGGCGGCAGAGAGATCCGTGGCCCCCCACCCCCACCCCAAGCAACCCTCTCCACTTCTCAAACCCACTGGGGCCACAACACTGCACAGAACTCCTGTTTATTGTGGCAATTATTTACACAACATACAAGCAGTCGTTCATCCAGTTCCGAAGCACTCGAACCAGGAGAGTCCATTAGTGATTCTGCTTTATAAATAACTTATGAGAAGCAAGCACAGTTGGCAAGGGACCGACAGCACAAGTCGAGCATCTCGTCCACACACCCACTGATGGCAAGCGGGCTGGGAGGGGGCAGGCACCAAAAGGTCGAGTTTCCTCGCGGGTCCCCAGCACCCAGGCCACCAGACGCTGGGTGCTCGTGTGGTGGACATTTCAAGGCACATATGACTTCCAAACTGATAGCAGCTCCAGGGTCTGCCCTTGAGACCTGGTTCACATCTGGAACCAAGTTCATGCTCTGTTCATCACACCCCCTTTGGTCTATTGTCATTTTTTTTATTACTGAACATGCTTAAAACCCCCAATGTGCTGGGGGCTGCATGTGGCTCTGAGTCACAATCCTTGCCCTTTACATTCTAAAAACAAGAGAGATGCAAAGACATGGACTCCACCATGGGGATGGTGTTTCAGAAAGCACCGTTTGGGAGGTCACACTTTTAGGGTGTCTTTTGATGTCTGTCTTGGGGCGTTGGGGGTGGAGGAGAGTTACATGAGGGAGGGGGCTTCTGCAAATGAGATTCAAGGCACTAAAGGAGTGGACGAATGGGGTGAACCTTGGAAAAAGTCAACCAGAAGTGGAGGGCCCCAGAAAAGAGAGGGTGGCTGGGGAGGCGACCTGGCCTTCCACTCCTAACTGAGCCCCAATGTGACCACAATCTCCTGGACCAGAGCTCCTCCCTCCTGTCTAGCCAGAGTCTAAGGTGACCCCCTGGATTTTCCAACCAGTGCAAGCAAGGTCTGGGGGGCCACCTTTATAACCCCCCAGCCTTCTCACTGTACTGGCTCTGCTGATGTCACTCAAACCAGCACACAGGAAAAGTTTACCTGACACCAGCCCATCAGAGTTCAATTATGGCTTTATGTGCCTTAAAAATTATGAAGTGTTTCTCCTAACTCTCTTTTCTCCCTGTGATCCAACCCTGGCCATGGTGCATGGGGCAGGCCATCCTTGAATAGACCTGAGAAACACAGAGAGCTAAGTCCCTTGGTGTGGGCACCACGAATAGGCCAAATGCCAGGGGGGTGAGCTGGGGCTGGAGACCAGCCAGCCCACAACAGAGACAAGTCTTGCACTGGGCTCAGAATGCAGGAGTGCAGACATGAGCAGCTGTTCACAAATGCACAGCTCACTCACTGACACCCATGGAAAGGTGCTGAACTCCCAGCCTGGCCAGCACCAGACAGGCCAAAGCCAGTCACTGAAGGAGGTGCCCCCTTCCCCCAGGAGGCCAGTAAGTGCTGTGACCGCCTGTTGCATTTCCAGGGCCTGCAGGCTCCAAGCCAGGTCCCCCCAAGTCCATGGGGAGTGCCAATTCCACTTCCAATTTAACCTCGAATCTCAGCAGTGGGTGGGCCAAAGGTTGTGGTACAGGTGGAAGTGAGGAAGGGCCAAGGGCCAGGGCCCTGTCTAATACCCAGGCCAGGCAGGGCCCTGAGGTGGTGGAAACCCATAGGGAGGGGCAGGCCCAGAGGGGTAGGGAGGCTGAGGGGGACCTGAGGGCTGGGACTGGCCTGGGAAGCCGGGGAGCTGGGGCTGTGTTGGGTAAGGAGGTTTTCCTCCTGTCGAGAGGTAGGAGGGCTGTTGAGGATAACCAGGGCTGGGAGTCTGGCCCCCTGCCAAGGGGTACCCAGGGCCAGAGGCACCAGAGTGGGGTACAGGATAGCCAGGCCGGGGTGGTGTGCTCCTCTGTGGGGACCAAGAGTAGCCCCCAGCAGCCCTGGGTCCCAGCTGGGCTGATGGATAAGGGGGGCCCAAAGGCCCACCGTAGGAAAAGGAGGGCTGGGACATCACAGGGAAGGGCGCTGGCTGGAGCGCGCCTTGGGCGGTAGGACCCATGGGCAAGCCAGGCGATGGGCTGTAGGGCAAAGGGTAGGGAGGCACTCCTGATGGCTGCAGTGGTGGCTGCAGTGGTGGGGGTGGCTGCTCTTCGACCACAGGGGGTGTCGCCTGGGGGACTGGGTGAGAGGGGGG